GTGAGTAAGCCGTTAAATAATTAATAATGAAATGTCTCACGAAAGTTTAAATAATTTAATAACTAAAACCTAGCTTACGTTTTAGGTTAAGTCTAAAACTTCAGCTTTTAAGTAACTATATCTTTAATTTATTTATAGTCTATAATATTTTTATCGTAAATCCAAAAGTTTTGATGGATTTTTGTTAGAATTTGTAGACTAAACTAATGAACTGATATGGATGAAATATGGCAGAACATAGTCTGGAAGAACACATAGCTACGTATTTTATATTTTTTAGTTCCATACGGACGGAGTCGCGGGAAATAGGTATTTTCGGAAATAAACCGTATACGTAAATGGAAACCTATAGTGAACAGAACTGAAACACGATTACCTATTTCAACCGATGTCAAGTGATGTCAAAAGCTTTTACATTTATCTTTTCAAAACCTTTCTGAAAAAGTTTTCTTTTGCCCGGGATACGTCCAAATCAATATAGTTCTATTTTATCTATAGGCGGTCCATACGTAACGTGGAAATGTACTATAATGTTCATATAATGTTCGACAAAATTAATCAGTCAACAACACTAAGCATATTATAAAACAACATATTTAGAATTGCATAAAACATTTATAAGTCGTTAAATTATATTTTCATCTGTTATTTTTTGTTAAGAATTTGAAATTATAATAATTCGTAGATCACCAATAAACTAATTATCAATTTTAATATTTTATTTCTCGTTTTTGATTTAAGCGACATCTATGGAAGCAATATTGAACTAAGCAAGTCTCAACATTTTCAACCTTTGACAGAACTTAGAAAGACTCCCAGAGATAGTACTAGAGGCCACGTTTGTGAGTTTTGTTATTGTTTTGTGAATAACGATATTGTAACAAACTGAAACAATAACAACTTGTACTAATCTACTACAACTGTACAATCTTAAATAACATGCCATCTTTTCATTTCAATAAATATCACCACTATACACGGCGGTTTGTTTTTTTGTTTCTTCTATTTCTTCTATTTCAGATGACTGCATATTACAGTTCGCATGGGTGAAGCAGATCAGTAAACCGGCTGGCATCCACTCAATTTCTATCTGCTTAGTGGTATGATTTTAGTGAGTTGGTAGTCACCGGGATAAACCGGCAGTTCATGAATCTTCATTTCATACCTTGCGTTGAATGGTGAGCTGCTTGTGTTGAACTCTTTTGATCCTAAGAGCGGACGCGCGGACCGT